TCCAAATACTCCTCTTCATTGAGGTGGTTTTCTTTTAACCTTTGGAATATGGCAGGGTTATCACCTAGAATTACATTCTTATGCTCCCTTAATTATGTATATCTTTTCCTTAACAAACCTTAAAAAAAGATTTCAGATGTTACAAGTCTAATTAAAGAGACAGACAAAGCACAGTTTATACTGTAGATTTTTTCTGCAGTTCAATTAATCAGCATGTTTTCTCTTTTAATTAAAACCATTTTAGTAAATTAAAGCCCACAGCAAAACACATATATAATTTGTTTGTAATTAGCTCTTAATTGGTGGTAGTTGAAGCTTAGCACCCTTGGTTTCTTTCTTCATGATTGCCATTTTATTAGCAGCCAGTCATTAATTAATCTTTTTTTCTAATTAGCTTATAAAACTGTTGATGGCACATTATTGTAAATGTGATTTTAAGTTCAAAGCTTGTTAATAAGCTTTCTTACTTAGAAGAACAGAGATAAAGAAATTGCTGAAAACAGTACTACAGTTCTTTTTTTAAAACTGCCTTTGTTATAAGGGGGCTCTGTAAAGCATCTAACAGCTTATGGTTAATTTTTTAATGCTGTGTTTTCTCGTGAATGGAGCAAGTTACTTGCATTTAAATGTTGAAGTCTAGCAAAGAGCTTAATATTAGAACAGTTTTCTGTCCTTGTTCCATTACTGTGTCATCCAAATATAATGTGATGTTGTAATACACAGCATAAAAATACAACAAAGGTATTACAAAGTATTTTAAAGGGGAAGTTGAGCACATCATTGAAAAGGGACAATTTTCACTGCAAAATCCACTCGGTATTCTTGTTTGCTTTATATATTTTATATACGTCAGCAATGGATAACATTCCATAACATAAAAGGAGAAAATCATTGCTAGAGGCAAGCCTGAAATAACTAGATTCATATTTGATGAGAAACTGTAACACTATATTAAAAGGCTGTTTGGCTTCTCTGCTATGATCATAGGATATTTCAGGACCTGTTTGAATATAGATGTTTTGTTGGAGCTTTTGTAGGTTTAATATTTTGTATTTCATACCTCAGTATTTCTGGAGCAGTTCTTGATTCCGTTGTCTCGTATCGTTCAACATTTACGTTTTACAGTCCTATCTTAAAGACAAGTCTTTGCTTTCTGATATTTAATGTTAAATGTCCTGATTTGCAGGGAAGTTTTCTGGAAGTTACAGTAGATTCAGTTGCAACTTAACAAAAATGTTTACTCTTCTGCCTGAACTTTACATTCTATTTCAACTTCAGCCATTTCTTTGCTTGTTTTAAAAGTGTTTTATGATGCTGTGCAAGAAACACTAGAAAGGGATAGCTGACAAGGAAAAAATTAAAAATTGGATAAAAAGTAAATGAATAATGTCATATTACTAAAAAGATGAGAGGCTAATTTGTGCCGACTTTTTGCTAATTTTGTTCAAGCCTCAAAATGAGGAGCTGTCACCCGTTCTGTGTAGCACTGATGACAGTGCCAATGATCCATGAAATAAGCTGCCGCTGGCTTTGTTCTGATAAGAATGAACAAATCTGCACAATGTACGGCTCCCAGAATCTCATTTTCATACTTGCATGCAGGCTAAAAGAAATAAGCTGTTTGCAGGCTTGATTAATCAGACATTTGAGGGTTTTTTGTCTCTTTGATCTCTTTCGTCTCCTAGGTAACTTGCTTGACATTAATGTTGAGCTTGAGTAAAGACAATCAGGAATTGTAGACCAAACTGATATAAAAATTAAAGACCTTAACACTTTAAGTACTCCAGTAATGGTTCCGCTTTACTTCAGAAAACATCTGTTTTCATTTAATTAAAGAACAAAAGAGAATGGCATAAATATTTTTCATAGAGACCTGTTATTCCATAAAAAGTTAAAGTATGATAATTGGTATTTTTAAATAAATGCCTTGAAAGTGTTCAAAAAGAAGCAAAGCTTCAGTTATTTGTTACAAGGTAACAATTTCAGATGAGTAGGAAATTTTCATTTATGCTACATTAAACATCTAGAGTAAGATATTTGACATGATTATTGGTCAACTTCAAAATGGAAAGGGCTTTGCCCTGTCGAAACTAAGTTGTTTTTCAAGTTTGTCTCAAAATACAAATATATATAGTGTTACAAGGATGAACCATTATATCAGCTTTACTACCCAGTATGATTTACACACTTTAAACCTGTAAAATTGAAAGGAATTTAAAAAAAAATGTCGCAGTGCGTTTGCTTGAGGTTATGCAGACGCTTTTACAAATCTTCCAAGTGGCTGTAAAGATGAATGCCTCAAGGGTCTAGCCAGGGCCCTGCTTTTCCAACCAGCTAAAGCCCTTATCTTAAATCCAAGCAAAGTACCATTAATCTTTTTGAAAGACCTTTTATGGCTTTTAATATATCCCAAATTAGAACATTTTACACCCTTGGTTCCTGAAATATGGTGATAAAAAGCCTTTAGAGCTTAATTTTCCTTACTGCGTGCTCTGACCAATTTGCAGTTCTTTGTGATAATGTTTAGACACCTTAATTAAAATGCAGCAAAATATTGGATGTTCTATATGGAAAATGCTGATACTTTGACTACACAAGAAATTGTTGTATATATTTTTATTCATGCTTTCTTACTTCTTTTAAGATTGTATTTTATTGAGTTATCTGATGACCTGAAATGTTAGTATGTTTTTTTTATTTTTTAATGTAAAATCCATTGACCAAGCTTTTATGGATTTCTTCTGGGAGCGAGCAGGGACTGAAGATGCATGTCTGGGTTTGGGTGGGAGCAGAAGACATTTAATCTGACTAAAATGTTTGTGTGTGTGTATATGCAACATTTGTTTTCATATCTTGAAAATTTGACTCTATGTAGCCTAGAAATTTTAACAATGCTGCAAAATGCTTCTGCTTTTGCTTCCACATACACTGCAGAGGATCTTATTATCCCATTTTTTTTCTGTACTTTTCAAAGATGGAAGAACTCATTCTGTCTTCCAGAAAAATGCAGATGAAAAGATTTTTCTGCAGCACTTGTTTAGAGCTCGCCTGTGTATATTTGTGTGTGTGCAATGCTCAATAAGCCACTAGAATATATTTTAAGGAGATTCTGTTATTCATCACACAATAAAAGTTAATTTTCAAGTGTGTTAGGAGGTAAAATACCTCTAATAAAGGCATGGTTCTGCTGACTGACTTCAGCCATCGGTTTGCTCTATTGTTTAAACTAATAATTACTACTGTTTCAATTTAAAAGTAAACATTTTTTGAATATTTTAGGTAGGTTTTCTTAAGCATTTTTATACTGCAATTATATTAAGGTTAATAGCTGCCCTTAAATATTAAGTGACAATGCAAATAAAAGAATGTTATGTTTTAGTCTTTGACCTGAAATTTAGCAGTTCAGATGTTGGCATTGAATTACTGTTAATAAAAAATGTCAATGCTCAGGGGAAAATTACATAGATAATATAAAAGTTTTGAAATAACTGGTCACAGTATTTTGTGCATGAAGATGATTCCAAAGGTACATATTTAGGACCTTATAACACATGTAAATAGTGGATGAGAAACTTGTTCACATTTTCCTTTTTAAATATTATGTTTATGAAAATATCTATTTTCTTTTTAAACTGTTACGCTCAGCTCCTAACTGCTTGTGCTGCCAGGATTTAGAACCTCAAACAAAGCACAAGCTGAATTGTGTTTGATACTTTTCCTTAAAGGCTGCTTTCTTCATTCTTGAAGTCTGAGAGGACCATAAGGTAGAATATCTTGTAGTCATGCTGGTTTGGGTTTTTTGGGGTTTTTTTTGCTTTGTTAACAAAATGATCACCTACCTGTTGTGTGTTTGATGGGATAGTTGTGAAAAATGTGTCAGTGCATCTACACCTGCAGATGTGTTCTTGAGTTCTTTCTCATCTTACCTGGATAAAGCATTTCTCAGAATAAATATTTGTCTGTGTAGATGGTGTACATTATTCAAGTATTATTAGCATTAATAGTTGAATTCCAGCCAAGGTGTTAAAGAGTATTCTTCCCCTTGTGTCTCCTGTTCTTTGATGCTCCCATGCCATTTTGGGGGGCACTTAGAATATCCACTCAGAAACTGTTTGCTAATTTCAAGAGGTTTTGGTGTGGATTGTAAGAAAACCTGTTTGCCCACATCAGTTTGTAGCAATTTGAGGTAAATGAATTGCATGTTTTTCTTGGAGAACAGCAGAACTTCGGGGAACAAATTCTTTCACAGCTCATCATGTCAAGTCAAGGCAGCAACCATGAAATGCAGCTACAAGTTACAAATGCTGATAAGGGAAATAAACTGCTCATAGTTCACTGTATGTTCTTCCATCTTTTTTACTTTACTCTTCCCTGCCTTTCACTCTTGCACTTGACGTTCGCTAAAGTGAATTTAATTCTCACAGTTTGCATCAGTTTAGGGAAGTTGTACTCACCTACATGGAAAGCTGGCATATCGCACCCTTGCTATCTGAAATCTTAAAATGTGGAGATAGACACTAAGGAAACTGCATCTTTTATTGTTGGACAGACTGATTAAAATATGTCTACTGAAAAATGTGTAATGGTAGAAGCTCTTCCTGTAGAAAAATGTACTTTTGGGTGGATTTTAGACCTGATTCTATTGTGTTAGCATAGCTGAGGTCACAGACTGGCACTAAAAATGGAGACTGTGTATTTGGATATGTCTGTCTATATAAAACAAACAAAAGGATCCAGTGAGCTGATACTCTTTGCTTTTGGTTTTAAAAATGAAGGATTTGGTGAAAAGGATTGCTTGCCCCAGGGTCCTACACTTTTTTATTTCCCTCAAGAGACGTTTGTCCAGTCTAATAGTGCATCATCAGCCTAATATTTGAAAGATATTTTAGTATCTATTGACTTTTGAGAAACAATATCAGACCAAGTAATTTGTGAGGCTTAAATTTCATATGAGCCATTTGCATCTAATCAGTTTTCCTTTGTTCCTTTTCATGTCTTAGCTTGGTGTGAAAATTGCCAAAGCTGCCGCTTGCCGCAACTTTGTAAAAGCCAAGCAAGAAGCAGAGGCTGCCCAAGAAGCTCAAAAGAAAAAGAAGCTTGCTTGGGGGTAAGTCATTTGAGTATGGAATTAAACATTTGTGGTTTCATTGGCACTAAGTGTGTACAATACAATCTCAGTTAAATGTTTTTTTAGTTGAAATAGGCTTGTGCTAATCTTATTTGTTTAGTTTAACCTTGCTGGGTTTTGGTGGGCTTTTTTAGGAGTGCATCAGACTTAAGGACAGAGGCTTTATCAGAAAGAAAGTGGTGCTTGTATGGCTATATTTGTCTTCATGTCTTTATAACTATTTAAAATAAGTTATTTTTGTAGTTGTTGAGAATAATGTGGTTAAATACCTGAAACAAATAGCCGCATCATTCCTAATGTGAGTTTTGTGCTCTGTTTCAGATTCGAAGCCAAGAAAAGATGGGAAACAAAAAGCAACATGGGATACATGTAGTCCATCCTATTTTCCTCAGGAGTCAAATACCTGTTGTTACTTGAAGAATTTTTGTGGACAATTTATTAAATCTAAACATAAAACTCCCCAAAACACAACACATCAAATGCCTGGTATTTATCCTAACACTTTTAAACTGCACTACCTTGTTTTGTCACTGTCTTATAAATAATACAGAAAAAATACTATCTAAACATCAGTACTGTGTTAAATTTTCCTCCTGGATATGAAACCTAAAGATAATGCATTTCAGGTTGAATTTGGAGTCTGGTAGAGAATTCTCTGAAGTCGAAATAAAATCTTTGGTCCAAATGTGTTTTGTGCTGTACTGCAATTATAATGTGTGGGCATAAGGAGAGGGGTGTGTTACTTCAGATGCTACATAGACTTAATGCAGTGTTTTCTGCTTGGAAATTGGGGGAAGACACTAAATAAAGAGCAAACACAACCTATCTTTTTGAAACCAAGGACATTTATAGCCTTAGTAAATATAAACACACACCAAAAAAAAAAAGCCTAAAAGTCGTGGAAGGATCTAGTACTATTGGTCATATCCTGGTGCCATGTTCTTCATAATATTTCAGATTGCCAGTTTTCTTTCCTTCCTAATAACACAGTTTTTAAACGTCCTAGATAAAAATATATAAATACATATCTTGGAAAAATATCTGAACTGTTATGTTGTACAGTTAACTTCACCCAAGATACAAATGTAGATTTTACTCCAAGTCAAATGTTTTACAGATCAATTAGGATTTGAATGTTTATGTTATAAGATTATAACAAGAATTGATTATAATATTTCTTCAAAATTATTCTCAGTGAAAAGTAAGTACACATTCAAAACTAATAACTTTCCTCCCTGAAGCTCTTGCATATATGTTTAGTTACCACAATGCCTGAATTGAATTGGTAATGTAAATGTCAGTTATTGTTAACCAAGATTAATATGTTTCAGGCCAAAGGTATAGTATTAGTGTAATGCTGATTTACTGTGTAGGTACTTGGGGCTAAAACAACTTGCCAACAAATAGCAATTTGAAGTTTTACGGCAGCAAGTCGAAGAGTTCAGGTTTGCAGTCCAAGATGGAATAGTGCATTTTTGTTCATTAGCCCTTAGGATATTTGATTCTTTTTTTTTAAATCATATTTCTTTCACACAGATGAGAGTTTGCAATATGGTAATCTGCAGTTAGCTGTAATTAGTTATGATGACAGAGTTGAATACAATTGCCAGGATTGTAAATTAGGGGCTGAATTGGTTTCTGCAGTATAACATCATAAATCTCACACTATGGTTTACAAACTACTTTGCTTTGCAAACTTTTGTGTGGAAGGAAGCAAGTGCTGTCTCTAGTGAAGTGATTGTAAAGGTGAATTGCATGTTTGCACGTGTATACACACAGATTACACCATGACCCTCCATCAGGATCTTTCAGTTCCAAATGTTCCTGTCCAGAAGTTACAGGCAATCTGTCCATAATTGCTGGGGTTTATTTTAAGTATCTGGAAGATGGGTTAGATACAGTTGACCTTTGTTATGTAATGAAAAGTAGAATGATAATTAATGCCAAACACACCAGCAGCATTCCATTAAACTTTTGAAAGATTCATTTATTCAATAAGCTATTTTCTTTTTTGTAGTAATTGCTCTTAAGAGTAACAGTATATGTCAAATCAAGATCCTGATCTAATTGCAAGGATCAGTGTTCTTTGTTTTGAAAATGTGCTTTAACAGAAACCCAAACCTTCAAAAAACAGCTATTGCCCAGCTACCTGTAATATTTTACATTAAATCAATTAGTTTTATGTTAGGCCATTCAAGATGGAACTGTTAGGAAGTATGCAGAATATTTGCATCAGGTCACTTGTGTGATGAATTTAGAAATGACTACATTTCAAACCTTTTTATCCACCTAAAATGTTTGCTTAAAATCTTAGTTGATATCCAGAATTGTACCACGTTCCAAAATCTCTTAACAAGGAAAATACAAAGGCTTCATACAGCTTTATAGAGTTAATATAAATACATAAGAAATAAATGAATGGAGAACTGTACCTTTAATAATCTTCCTAAATTGCTGGTCTGTTTTTAAATGTCTTGTATTGTCCTGGCACCCTTTTTTTTTTTTTTTGAGTTGTTTTGATCTGTGATGTAAATTTTGGCCAAGCAAGTAGACGTGCATTCTGAGACTTAATGTTTCCTGTTTAACAGTGTTAAACCAATCCAAATGCTTGTTTTAGTTAACTGAAAGTTTTTTAATCAGCTTAAATATACAACTTGTTACACTGATCTAAATTTGGGATGTAATAATAATTTTTTTAGCAGATGAAAAGTTTGCACTATCTCCTTGTTTGATTGAAATTACTGATCTAGAGAAATGTACTTAAATTATAAATACCAGTACCAATCTGTTGTGATGCCAGATATTTATTAGAAGTTCATTTGATGCTATCTTGAGTTGGGCAACAGTTCAAAAGCAGCCCTGCCAAAATTCTTCCTCCCTCTCAAAAGTCCTGAAAAACACAAATGCATGCACTGCTTTTACCCCATTTTTTTTCTCTACGACAATTTTATCCAACATCAGTCATGGTTCTCTTTTGGATATCCTGAATAGCCTTAAATCTTTGGAGGGAAAAATTGTGTAGCTTCCCAGGTGTGGCTGTCTGGAGTAAACCAAGTACCTGGAAAGCAGAATGTGCTCTCAGAATTTCTGTGTGAGAAGTTGTTGTTTGAGCAAGGCTGTCTCTGGAGCATCCTGGCCTGCTCCTGTTGTGGGCCAGGCTTTGGCAGTCTGGCCTGGGGACTGGGCTTGGCACCCAGGTGCTCTGCCAGGGGGAGGGCTTTGCTTTGGGGTTTTCAGCAGCCCTAACAATGTCACGTTGGGGGGCTCTGCACCATGTCACTGAGCAGTGCTGGTGCTCCTTGAGCACTTCTCAGGGTGCCATGTCTTCATTTCTGCTCCCATCTCATATTCTTGCAGTTCTGTTGTGTTTTAAGGCCTACACAAGAAATTCTTTTATCAGCTCCTGTGATAAAATAGAGCCAGTTTGAAGTTTGACAACAGCATACTAATACAATTACTTGTATTTCTTAATACTGCATTCCTGAGCTCCTTAACCAAAGAGTGGCTGCAGGGACAGTTTGACAGATAAAAACATATATATAGTTGTTAGAGTTTTAATAGTTTTTTGCCTGCAACCATAATCTGTATCATTATTTTTTTAGTTTAATTCTGTTGGACAAGTTTCAAAGATAAATGTGGTGTGTAATAAGTCTTTGCAGCCTCTAATTTGTGAAGGAGTGTCTGTCCAGTTAATACTTGCTCATTGAAGCAAGGGGTTTTGAAATAGCTGAAGTACGAACTGTAATTACTGATGTCTGTTTCCTATTCACCTATGGCTTCTGGCATTTGATCAAAAACTGTAATGTATTGCTTAATCTCAAAGCATTCCCCACTTTCAAAAATATTTACCTCATGAGAATTGCACAGCACTAAATGACCTTAGCAAAACCATAGATTTTTATTTGGCATTGATCATATGGAGCTAATCCACCAACAAGTATTTTTCCTGTTATTTTTGAGCGTTGGTAATTTAGGTACAGATGTGTCTGTAGTGTACCTTTAGTGCAAGCTCAAAGCATCTTAAAAAGCATTAAATTTATTAATAATAGGGCGGGATTTTTACTTCACAAATGGGCTGGCTAAAAAGAGTACAAAGGTTGAGCAATTCATGTGAGGGCAAACTCCTGGCTGGCAGCAAAGTGGCGAGTGGAAGGAATCTCCTGGTTTGCTGTTTTGTCAAAGCTGAGAATAACAGAGAAACCAGTCTTGAACAATTTTATGGCAGGTGCCTAATCCTCTTTGAAAGTCATTGGGAATTGGGCACCTCATTACCATCTCTCCTACCGAGAGAGTAAAAGAGCTGCAATACTGAATGCAGATGTTCTGAGCGTCGCAAGAGTAAGTAAAAGCCCGAATTTCATTTGAGAAAAGTTGTCATCTTTCGTGTTGAAAAATGCCTGCATTGCTTTGATCCGTCTCCAGCTGTGTTTATTTCACCATCAAATCTTGTCTTCCCAGTTTCTGTGGGATGGTAACAGAGTTGAGAGGCTTCTATTTCTTTACTTGTAATTGGACCTGGAATAAAATATTTTGTCCTGAAAAAGGCATAGGTGCTAAACAGACACTAAGAAATGAAAACAGCCAGCTTTATAAAAGGAGTTCTACCTATTTTACATGTGATTGTGCTTGCCATGCTTGTTCTCTGATATTGAATCATCATCCTGACTTAAATAATATGTTCATGTCTCTTGGAGTTTCCCAGGTGTGCTGGCTGCCTGACTCACAGATGGAAATGACTTCAGGCTGGCATGAAGTGACCACAGATTGAAATGAGCATTTGTATTTCCATGTTACGTGTCCTAATGAGTCAGCCTTTGGCAGCTTTTGCTGTAACTGAGGAAAATAGATACAAGAGAAAAGCTAGATACAGAAATAAGGGTTTTTAACCAAATGAGAACTGACTGCTTTCTGGTAGCCATAGAGGGAGTTTTGTTCATCCTGTTTTTCACAGCCTCTCTGAAATGAATAATACATTCATGTAACCCAAACAGCAAGTTCAGATGTCAAGCAAAGTGTAATGCTGCCTGTGGACTCTCTTAGCTAGGTAATGTTTATGGTATTTTAAGGATTTCTCTGTGGACAGGTGGTTGCTAACCTTGTCATATCTTTAATGCTAAAATACTAGTTGGCCTCTACTGGTACAGACCAGTATTAATTCCAAACTAGTAGTGCTTGAATTTACCAGTACTGCTAAAAAGAAAAAGAATCTGCATCTTTTCTTATTACTCTGATTCTGTCCAATCATCTGCAACTGTGATGAAAAATCATTGCATTCTTTTGTGAATTGAGAAGATTCCCAGCATACCCAAGGATCACTGAGATTGTTTTAACATTGATTCCTCTTCTGTGGAACTTACAAAAGTGTATTTTCCACAATTATATTTGAAGTCTGTCACCAGCTCCTCAAACTGCACAGTAATAGCGCAGGATTGTAAGAAAGCCCTGAGTAAAACTAGGTGTAATGTGCTGCTGTAAAGTGTAAACATGCAAAGAACATCACAAAGTTGACGTATCGCATGATTCAGCTTCTAATTACCATCAAACAATGGAGGATGGAGCTTTTAGTTTTTGCAAGTTAATGAAGAGAATGTTGAGAGCAGCCTGCTAGCAAGAGCTGTCCTCTCTGTTATCTGCTGGAGGAGTACACAAGCTGCAAAGGGGCATTTCCAATTTGAATACTTCCTC